ATTATGAGCAGAGCTTGATGGCCCGAGATCTCAACTAGTCGCATTTCTGGTGATGGCTGGATATGACCTGCATGATTGCTTGCTTTTTCCTCTTTGAAGCTGAACTTTATTGCCATATCTTATAACCTAACTATGATTCTCTGTCTGGGACACAGTCTTCTGTAATGTGAGTGATACAAATCTCCAGAAACCAAACAGGAATTAGCTGAAGGAAGAATGACTGTCATTATATGCATGCCTAAAATGAAGTCAGTAGAACAAAAGCAGAGTTGGGCTCATGATTCTGTGTGAAGATCAATCCATATGAAGCTAATCTTACTGATACAAACCTGTTCTCAGGATATCTAGGTTGCACTGCCTAACCTCATGAACCAAAGAAGTGGATCTTAAAGACCATGTTTCTTGTGACAAAAAGGGTCCACCTGAACAATCATTTGGTGTACTACAAACAGCACTGTACTACAAACAGCAAGTCAGCAGACACACCAAGACACACAAGCGTGCGGGCAGAATTATTGCCCCTGAGCTTTTTGGATACAACCCGAGCCATGGAATATCTACCTACTGAGCTGGAAAGTCGGGGGGGGGAATCATTGAAGATCTCATGGAGCTGAATGGAAAATGTCCTTTTTCCTGTGGTGGGGGAGCACCAACTTTGATCGGGATTGCTTGTGCCTGTTCTTGCGGAACTTTGTTGCCATAGCTCAAAGGCATAAGAACCAGCCTAAAGGGCGAGGAAGATGAGGTCGCTGTTAAATCCCACCTTTGAGGGTGTCTCACAAGAGGAACTGTTGTTCTCCGCAAGCAACATGAACATGGTATCGGTGGACCAACCACAGTGAAGTCACAGAGTTCAATTCATATGCTCTTTGATAGAGCAGACACATCATGTGAATCTATATGAACAATCCACTGGTAAAAGTGCTGCATGGGATTCCCATCAATGCAGGATCCAGAGAGGAGAATCAATGTATATAGTTCCACCCCTGTAAATGAAAAGATTGATGATTCATCATACGGATTGGAGAGTGTTGTTCTTGGTTTGTGGACTTCCACAAAAAACAGGGATGGCTCATGAAGTTGAAAAGCATTGATTAACAAAAAATTAAGCAAGCAAGATCATTAGACAAAGTCTGAAGCTGTATCCTTCCCAAACATGTCCGACCAATCAAACCTGGGGTTGACAGTCTACAATTGGAATCAGCTGGATTGCCACTTTCCCAGTTGGACAGAACCGAAAGTTGTGTTTCTTCTTATCTATCTGTAGGGTCACTCCTGTTGAAAACAGTATCGAGGAAGAAGAATGAGCTGCCATGGCATCTTTTAACAGTGTTCAGGAAGAAGAGTAAATCTTCATGTTTGCCTTGAGCTATTTAAGTCGGCAGAGAATGATGGAAGTAACACATAAAACATCATAATGTTTAGTAGTTCACTGCATCAAGGATAGTATTCACCTCTAATGGCAATCTTAGTTCAATCAGCTCATTTCACTTTACCAGTTCGATTAAAGCCCGTTGAATGTGAGAACTAGTCCATTTGAACAACCACAACAAGGCCCAAGTTCTCGACATTTGCCTAGGTCAAAATAATATAAACCAAATTCAACAGAGAAACAGAGACATCCTGGTATGCGAACAAATTAATGGATGTTATCCTTGATCTGTTCTTGGAAATGTGTATTTTCAGAAGAAATATTCATGGAGTACTACGTTAAGTGGATGTTAATCATCCACTGATTTAAGCTATGATGGATTGTTATCAAGAATATATTTGGGACAAATATTTCACGAAAGAGGTAGAATTAATGTTTTTAACTATGTAAGTATTTAAGCTGGAAGGTCTCAAAGGAAGTCTGCTTTTAGAACCACCGCATGTGTCTCATAGGGACGAAGAAAGAGTATGTTTGTAACAGGCAATTCTGATGGCTCTCTTCCTCCTTCAGGTGCCCTTCACGGAATTGGTCATTCTGCTCCTATGACTGCTTACAAGAGCCTATAAGAAAAGTTAAAACGAAAACTCAGATGCATATCAATGCTGTAGTTTGCTATTTGTTTATCTTCTTCGACATTGGCCATCCGAGAAAGAAGAAGCTGCTGCAGAAGCGTTGGATTTGGGTAGTTGTTTGACCGGACCAAAGAGAGTCATCTCCTCGGTACCGTAAAGTGGTGAAGGAGGCCAATCTTTGGAGGGGAAACGTCAGAGGCATGCATTCACGAGTGCTGCTGGACCATTCATATTGATGATTAGTTTACGGTCGTTCGCTACCATCCTTTGAGACAGCATAAATGGGCATCTCCTCACGCTTGTTTCCGATGGATATAACCATCATTCCCTTTCCCCAAGCTTCTCTCATCATGTAAGGACAAACACACAACCTCTACTGCTAGTTAAAAGAAACTTAGCCAGCCAATACATGTAAGATGGTCTTTCCACCGCTCGTTGAGCTGTAGCTTCCAGCAATAGAGTAGCCTCGGACGGCACCATATCTACGTTGCTGAATCCGGCGACACAATCACTCGCTCGAGCTTCCCATTCACAGTGGAAATCTTTTGGAACCATGCGTCGATCGTACACTGCTTGTGAGCTTCTGCATGCCAGCCCAGAGAAATAATTGAAAAGATGCATGCCTTTTGTTCTTTGCTGGTGTCCATTTGTGCGACAGTGATCAGAAAGCTAATTGGAAAGAAGAACCTGTGGGGGAGCTCATCGCTCTGATCAAAGGGAAAAGGGAGTTTACGGGATGCGAAGACTACCAATCGGGGTGACTGTAGCTCTCTCCCTGGCCTCTCTTTTCTGGGAAACGGGCTTGAGAGAATGGAAGTGATGATGGAATCCCTCTGTGTTGACATGGCCTCTCATCTTTCTTTCTTTCTTTGGACACACAACTCAAGACCAGCAATCCCATCCCACCTTCAGCACTCAGTACTCCAATTTTGCCTTTTCTTTCAGCCCTCATTGCTGAACTCCCTACCTCTGACTTGCTCCATATATTTGCTAACAAGTATCACCAGCAGGAGGCTGTGGCTGTCGTGTGGGTTTGTCAAAGGGTCTCCTACAGCGGTTATTGGCATTCTGCCCACCTCCAACCCTTCCTCTCTCATGGCACCAAGAGCGTCAAAGACATGGAGGTGGGCAGCCTGCCAACCGACCTCTGTTGGCTTCTCTTTGTAAAACCCATATGATACGTTGATCGATCTTCCCCTCTAGTACTACAGCCTGAACTTTCTCACGACGACGTAGAACAAGAAGTAGAAAGGGAAACTCATGGATAGTTCGAATCTTTAAGGAAGGTATATGTATTTCTAATCTAACGCATACTTGTACTTCATGGAATCAAGCCTTCCTTATCGTGACTGCCGTAGCTTCACTCCTTTTTTCTTTTCGGGTACATCGGCTTCCTTTTGCTTTACTGGTATACTGCTAGTTTCATCCACTTCAAAGCTTTTTCTTCCCCCTGCTTTTTGGAAGAAACATCTTTGTGAATTGCTTTTGGTACTGTTGCTGTTGTTTCATATCTTTCTACATTGCTTTACTAGCAATATGTACTATGCTCGTATACCTATTGCTTCTAAACGCAGATCCAAATGTTAGATGAAGGCAAGGCAAGAAAAGAAACCTACATGTAAGCCTTAATGCTAGGTTTAGGTTCTTGTGTTACTTTTGCTGTTGTTTCCAAGTGCAGATCAAAATGCCAGACGAAGGCGGAATGAATAACAAGAAAGAGAAGGCAAGAATGAATGCGATGCTTCTTAGAACCCTAGCTAGCTCTATGGTTTTCCATGATGATTCTTCCTTATTTTCCCCCTTTTCTGTTCAGTGTTCCACTCAACAAAAGACGACATTCTCTCTGGAGATGGAAACGACTGCAACTTCTCTCTGGAGAAGTTTGGGTTTTGCTATCTTTCCGGAAACCCTAACAGTAATATGTTAACTAGTGGTAGCATGTAGGCTTTGGAGCTGCATTGCACAACTCGGATCGAGTATAATACTTGCATGTAATCTTCCTCGTATCAAAGGCCATCATGGGGCGAAGGATTTGCAGGTACAAACCACAGTCGTATGGATATGCATCCCTTGTGTTCTGATGGACTTTAGGGTGGCGGAGGCGTGAAGGCTCTCTACAGGTCTTTTCACCACTTTCAAAATACGTGATGTGATGCGGGACAAAGCCTGACTTTCTTTCATTTTCTTTCATCTACAATCATAAGGCACGTTTGTGGAGAAAAGATGCAATGAAAACGGAACTGTAGATGGTTTGAGTGCATATATTGCAGTGTTTCCTCTACCATTTTGATATCTTTTCCACGAAAAAGATGAACTCATCGATAGATGCCATAAAATCCCCTCTGTCGGGGTGTACAGTGAGACTTTGACTGACATCCTGCATGGTAGGCATTAATCATGAGGCATTAGAAGACATTGGTGTCACCTCGATTCAGCCGAAAGAAACCGATGTGCTTATCCTCTAATATAACTCAAATACATATTTTTTTCCTTATTCCAACTTCTGAGCGACACAGCGTCGAAAATTCGTCCCAGAAAAATTAGGCAACTAACATCATATTAATATAATCATATTCAGCTCTTTTTGGAAGGGGAAAGGACTTGGAGCATACTTGCGTTTGATTTACCTCTGCATACATCTATGACCGGAGCAGCCAAATTTCTGATGCAGTCTGACCAATATTTGCTCTGTTTCTTTGATGCACTGGAACAGTTCATCCAAATCACCCGTACACAGCCCTCCTCATGCCTCCTCCAGAGAGCCCCAAGGAAGCGGGAGATGATCCGAGTCGAGGCAGACAGGTTCCAAACGGGAGAACACTGAAGCAGCAACCGAAATGGAGAGTCAGTTGCGTCTCATCTTCTTGCTAATGATATGATACCTCAAAATAGTCCACGTCGAATGTAAGTCAAGGGTTAAAAGAACCGGAGGATTCGAGGAAATTTCGTCTTCCGGTAGCCAAAGAACCAGCTAGAAGACAAGGACATGTGGGGTTGGACGTTGAACAAGGCAAACATGTGCTCCGCATTGACTCGAGGAACCATAGTCTGGGAGGAGTACAGATCGAACCAGAGAAGTGGGAGAAACGCTGCTCCTCTACCCTGCTCCCTGTAACGATGGCCATGGTCTTGGATGCTTTTGTCGGGAGATGCATCGAGACTCTGGCTGCCTCTATTGGCAACAAGTTGGCAGTAGTTATCGAGGTCAAGGATGAGCTCGAGAATCTTCGGAGAAGGCTAGAGAGGATAAGCTACGTTCTTAAGGACGCAGAGAGGAGGCGGATGCAAGATTCGGCGATCAGCAATTGGTTGAACGAGCTTAAAGATGTCATGTACGACGCCGACGACATCATCGACCTCTGCAGAGCCGAGGGTGGGACACTGTTGGACGATCAGCCACCGGCGCCGCAGACTCCACCGCCGGTATGTTGTAGATTTCCTTTGGTCTCTTGCTTTGCTGGTGTCAAGTTACGTCATGAGATCGGAAACAGAATCAGAAGCCTCAACAAGAGACTGGATGCGATGTCTAGAGACGAGTTGATGCAGAAGCTGGAGCAGTCAAGCCCAGATGTTGTCCTGAATAGGGGTGTGAATCTTCGTCAGACTGATCCACTCCTTGAACAAGATATAGTAGGAAATGAAATCAACGACGCTACCGAGAATCTTGTGGATTTCTTGACACGCAGAAACGATATCAACTGCTGTCTTTGTGCCATCACCGGCATGGGGGGAATAGGAAAGACGACACTGGCTCAGAAAATATTTAATGATCCAAAGACGCAAGATATATTTCAGGTTCGGGCATGGGTTTGTGTTACACAGAAATTTTCAGAGATTGAATTGCTGAAGCAGATCATAAGGGAAACCAGAGTGAACTACAGAGAAGATATGACAAAAGCGGAACTGCAACCGATGCTTAGAGATGCTGTTCGGGGAAAGAGTTTGTTTCTCGTGTTAGATGATGTGTGGCAAGCAGATGTATGGGTTGACTTGCTAAGAAATCCCATACTACAAAGTGGAGTGGCTAATGGAAGAATTTTGGTGACCACCAGATATGAAAACATTGCTCACCAGATAGGGTCAGCACGCATCCATCGGGTGAAACTATTGCCGGATGATTCAGGTTGGGAACTGTTGTGCAAGAAGGCATTTGTCAGTGGAGGGGAGGAAGATATGGAGAACTTGAAGGACGTGGGCTTCGACATAGTTTCCAGATGCAAAGGTCTTCCTCTCGCAATCAAGACCGTGGGAAGCCTCTTGGCCACGAAGCAGAGAGGTAGGCGAGAATGGGAAAAGGTTGCCCGTAGTGATGCATGGTCTATGAGCGAGCTTCCTGAACAACTCAGGGGGGCTTTGTACTTGAGTTATGAGGATTTACCATCTCATCTCAAGCAATGCTTCCTATACTGCTCCCTTTTTCCCGAGGATTATGTACTACGTAAGGAGAGTCTCGTGAGACTCTGGTGTGCTGAAGGCTTTGTACGGTCCCAAGGAGACTCAGCGATGGAAGATGTAGCAGAAGAATATTGGAAAGAGCTTCAGAGGAGGAGCCTTCTGCAGCCTTTACCTAACTCCTTGGTGGAGAGCCCTTGCGTGATGCATGATTTATTGCGCTCTCTTGCTCAATTCTTATCACGAGACGAATGTTTCTATGGAGATGCAGATGCGATAAAATCCACACCTACCTCAAAGCTTCGCCGTCTATCGGTCCGTGAGGAAGGTGAGAGAGTCGCGATCCCTGAGTCGGTAATACAGAAGAAATGTCTGAGGACCTTGATGGTCCTAAAGACTCCCCCGGTCGTCGAGGATAAGCTGCTGGCAAGGCTCCCACGACTGCGTGTTCTGCTACTAAATGGAAGAGGAATCCAGAGCATCCCGGATTCTATTGGAAATCTAACTCATCTACGATATCTAGATCTCCGAGAGACTGACGTCTCCAGTCTACCCGAATCCATCGAGCGTCTTCGCAATCTGTTAACCTTGAACGTCATGGATTGCAGGTATCTGAGGAGTCTTCCTCGAGGCGTAACACGATTGCTCAATCTGAGGCGTCTTGGTCTTTTCAATTCGGCAGTCCGTAACGTGCCCAAAGGCATAGGGAGGTTGCAGCATCTTAACGACATCTCCGGATTCATTGTGGGCGACGAAGAAGATGACAGGAGCGGAGGGTGTGACTTGGAAGAGCTTAACTCTCTCCGCGAGCTCAGAAAGCTGAGCATATTTAACTTGGAGAGAGTGTCGAACGGGGCTTCCGTGTTGTTCCATAAGAACCACCTTACGAGATTAGCCCTGCTGTGCACACCGTACAGTTGTAGGCTCGGTGGTACGCTATACACAGAGGAGGAGATCAGGAGGATCGGGAAGGTCTTCGACGAGCTACGTCCTCCGCCGTGCTTGGAGGAGGAACTCTGGATCGATGGTTTCTTCGGCCGTAGGTTCCCGAGCTGGATGATGTCGTCCTTGGGAACTTCTTTTCCTCGTTTGACACGGCTGTTCCTTAATAGATGCGAGTTGTGCCAGAAACTTCCCCCTCTGGGCCGATTGCCCGAGCTCAAATACCTCGACATCGGTGCTGCATCTGCGCTGGTGAGAATCGGCCACGAGTTCCTTGGAGACGAGACTTCGAAAGCAGCATCTACCGTCGTCTTCCCGAAGCTCAAAATTTTTCGTATTGAAGATATGCCAAATTGGGAAACGTGGAATCTCGGTGGAAGTGGCGACGATGAGGATGATGATGGCGGCCAAGAACATTACGGTGCAACACAAACTCTGCTATGACTGCCTCGTCTCGAGGACTTGGTAGTTCGCAATTGTCCCAAGCTGAGCGCGCTTCCTATAGGCACCAATGGCGTGCACAAAGTACGAACCTTCCCAGCCCTTAGCAGATTAACGATTCACGATTGTTCAGCGTTAGAGTACATGGAGAATCTGGACGCGCTGGAGTATCTAAAGCTGGTGGACGAGTCAATGGAACACCTTCCCCCGTGGTTGCCGGGCCTGATCCAAGGACGACGAAGCAGATTCAAGATGGATGTCTTCTGCAACCTCCGTCTGCTCAAGAGATACCTTGATGATGGACCAGACTGGCCGATCGTCCGAGAAATTCCCATCGCCAATATTTACTCCGACACTGTGAACGGAAGAGCCAGTCTTCATCATGTCAAGGAGACTTCCTACTACCGAACGACCAACATTTAGAGAGGAAAGGTAATATAAATCCCGGTATTGGCGACTTGCAAGGGGCCTCTGCTTGAGTTAGTGATTCTGTGCCTGTTGCCAAGTTATGATTGAAGTCCTATCACATGAAATATCATCGTAATCGAAGAAGGAAGACAATTGCATTACATATATTATTCAATCCTGAGCACATGTTCTGCAGACAGTAAGATTCATTCATCGCATTAATTCATAGCTTCAATCTGCTGAAGAGTCTCCACAACCTCATCCATGGACGGGCGAGCTTTAGGATCGTCTGCAACGCAGCTCTTGGCCAGTCGCGCCGCAGAAAGAGCCGCCTTCACCGGATACTGCCCCTCCAGTCTCGGGTCCATGAGGCGAGCCAACTTCGGGTGATCCGAGACGTAGGGCTTCGCGTATTCCACCAACCGTTGTTTGCCTGTCCGGCTCGCATCCAACGCCCTCTGCCCAGAGAGCATTTCCAGCAACACCACTCCCATTCCATACACATCATTCTTCGCAGTCAAATAGCCTGTTTATGGAGATATCCATGAGATGGAAACGTAATAGAACAGCATCTGTGATACGTACGTACCAGTTGCTATGTACTCTGGTGCGGCATATCCGTAGGTGCCCATGACTCTGGTCGAGACGTGAGACTCTGCATCAGTTGGGCTTTCCCTCGCGATCCCCAGCCCGGTGAGCTTCGGATTGAGGTTCTAACGAGGAACAAAGATTCAGACACTCGTGGCGTTTTCGGATTTCACAAGAGCTCGAAAGAAGAGCTGACGTACTGAATCAAGAAGGACGTGGGAGGAGGTGAAGTTTCGATGGATGATGCGATTCTCTGGGGAATGTAAAAATGCAAGACCTCGAGCAGCACCGACCGCAATCTTCAGCCTCTGCTCCCATGACAGTGGCTGCACAGCTGCTCCCTCTGTCCAAGGTTTAGCTAGTTAATATGCATACTTTCACCTTCTTCTTCTATCATTTGAAGCTTTTTGAGAAGGTATTTCTTGAACCTAAGGAACATTAGATTTGATACAGTACTCACGTGGGAAGAGGTGGTTCCCTAAGCTGCCTTTCTCCATGAACTCGTAGACGAGGAGGAGCTCGTCGTCTTCACAGCAGTAGCCCAAGAGATTGATGAGGTTGGGATGCGACATCTTCCCCAGGATATCTACCTCTTTCTGCAGATCCACCAAACATCACACAGATTAGGTAGCTAAGCAACCATTCCCACTGTTTTCATATGGCTTAATTAGTAATCTGATGATTTCTGATCATTAAAAATGTTCATCATTTCCTCTTTTCCCACATCAAATCACACCTCTTGATCCAGAACAGGGGAAATGTACGGAACCTGACAATGTCTGTAAACAAGGAATTCATCATGAAATATAGAATTCTATAATTAGAAGGGTATTGGAAATCACCTGCCACTCGCTGAATCCTTGGAAGCTCTCAGGCTTCCATTTTTTGACAGCGACGGCCATCCCCACCCTATTATTTGCCGGAGTCAACGTCTTCTTGTCGACCCAAGCCTTGTACACAACCCCAAATCCTCCTTCCCCGATCATGTTCGCAGCCTGGAAGCTACGTGTGGCACTCTTCAGCTCATTAAACGCAAAGATCCGAAGGTTTGGGAACGCCTCTTCGGTTCTGGAGCTGCCGTCCAATGACTGTTCGACGGTGCCGGTGAAGACCGTCGATAGCTCTCTGTTGCCGCCGGTCGTCGTCGTCGACCATCCTACGACAAGACAGGAGAAATGTGATGATCACATAGAGAACTTTCCATGGTCATAGCAAGCAGTTGGAGAAGAATTAGAAACAGAAAGAACAACTCGGAATCAAAAGATCAAGCAAGTCTCAGATGAGTGACAACGAGGAACATGATTCATCTTCTGTCAGCAGTACCTGGACCGCGAGGTCCGGTGGCCACAGGGTTGACAGAATTCTCAGGGCCTCCAAAGCAGTTTCCCATCACCCCACAACTTCTTCCTTTTTCTTCTCGTCCTTTCCTCTATTCTTCTCTCTCTACGTATGTATAATCTCTATCTATCAATTTCTCCAAGAAGATGAAGAGGAGAAGAGCCAAATGAAAGAGAATTAATAGAGGAAGTGAGAGAAATTGCGGACTTGCTCTGAATCTTCCATGATCTTTCTCCATTGCCTTTGGTCGTTGAAGTCCAAGTCCACGCTCATTAAATTCCTGTCGTTCGGGTCTTCATTTAAGCTTTGAACGAGTGGTGATATTGCTACTTCGCATTCACATGTTCTAAGTTCATGCAATACATAAGAAGAAACTAACAACGACAGTAATCAGTCGAACATATTATAATTCCACAGCCAAATTGTTTCGAGATACATAAAAGCCTCTTTCGCCACTGCAAATCCGAACTACGAATTGATATGTTCAACATCATTGCAATACCAAATTCCTTTAAGATAAAAAACGGCCTAATAGATCCTCTCTCTAACTATAATGTGGGTGGTACTCATCCTCGTCCGATTCTTCACGGTCGTCGTCGTCGTCGTCGTCTGATTCTTCACGATCGTCATCGTCATCGTCCGATTCTTCACTGTCGTCATCATCGTCATCCGACTCTTCACCGTCGTCGTCATCGTCATCCGACTCTTCACCGTCGTCATCATCGTCATCCGACTGTTCATGGTCGTCGTCGACCCACTCTTCGTTTAGCCTTCTGTTGACATTGGCATCAGCATTCAGAGATAAATTTCTAAATTTCGGCACATACTCTTCAATTATGCCACCTGCAAAATCATTTTGAGAGTAGAGATGAGTGAATGTACAAATTGTGGGTAATGAGGGTTAGATGAAATTAATAGAAACGATCAGCTTATGATGCATGAGATTAACTGATAATAGTGTTGAGAGGACAAAAAAAAGCTAACATAACCACAGATATGTGTTCATGCAGTGGATATAAATTCTAACCACAGATGACAAAAATTCACCACTAGAGGGAGAGAGTATGAGATGATAGAACATAATTATGTCATGTCTAAGTATTATATTCACACGTATTTTGGATAACATCATCTTAATTAAGCCCAACCATTTGTTCGTGTCGCTCCGGAGGTACCATTGTCGATGGATGGAGTTACATGCATTCGACTGTCGGATCAAACTCGACCACCAAGGATTAACCACATGAAACGTAGAATCATATGCCAATGCATCGTAGATATGAGACGATGTGTTTTGAAGTATTTATAAATCTTATTATTGTTGATCAAAGATCAACATAGAACACATGATATGCATAATATTCATAAAAATAAAATCAAACATTATAGAATTGTCCGTTTTAATATGTGCTCTACATGATTTCACCTTTACGTATGAGTGGCGTTACCTTTGATCTTATAATATATAGGACTAAATTGGTTATTAGTAAAGCCCCTAATTGAGAAACCAATACACAGTCGACGTCGTCTGAGTTCAGAACGACTTTACCCCTTTGGTGTGTCCGACAGGAAAAGGACAGAAGGGTGACTTGTCAGATTTTTTTAAAAGTTTAAATATTTTTAGAGTATTTTAATTTTAAAAAATTCTTATAGTATCTCTATGAAATGGCTATTTTATTTCTATAAACCATCTACGTTGCCCTTATGCCTCGTCCAATCCAATATAATTATGTTGAATCTTGAATTTTGATAATAAAATCAATTGATAAAATTTATGATCTAATTTTAATTTGTGTTTTGAGTAACGCGGGACTAGCTAAGAGACAATTAAAGTAGGAAAAATTAATATTGGACCGGAGTAAAATATGTCAGAAGATTGAACGTCGAGCCGGAGGATCGGTTGACGATGTCAGCAAAAGGCTTCGTGCCATGAGTTTGGGCATCAGGCCTAAAAGAACCGACATTATGCCAAGAAGATCGGAGTTACGGAAGTCAATATGTCGATTAAGCAAAAAGCCGCAAAAGAGGACGATGCGACGAAGGATTGAACGATGCACCGTTGAACTAATAACATACTAGATAGCATGTGATTAATGCTTTGTAATAATTATCTAGATCGAAACAGTTTTAAGTTATAATTGGGTTAGAATTAGACCAACTCAATTAGGGGTTAATTGAGCCTATGTTGGGACTATTTTGGGCCAAGAGAAAGGCCCATTCAGTGACCCAAAAGTTGGGTCAAGCGATGACACCGCTAGAGGCTTAGTCTTCAAGACAGTCTCCGAGACTATGTCAGGCGGTAGTATCGCCAGACTGAGCGGTGGTATTGCTAGATAGGCAGTAATACCGTCCAGTATCAAGCGATGGTACCACCCAGTGTCAGTGCTGTAAATAGTAGTACCGCCCAACACAGACGATGGTACCGTCAAGACTTGGGAAACCAGGGATAATATATTTTTTTATTTTATTTTTGAAGTTATTTATGGTCTATAAATATCCCAGCTATTCCTGCATGGAGATGTAAGAATTGAGCAGAAAGGGAAAAGAATTCTAAGTTAAAAAGTGTTGTAATCTCTCTAAGTTCAATGAGTCTCTTTCTCTTAGAGTTAGAAGGTTTCTAAGGGAGTAGTAAGGTCTAAAAGAAAAAGAGGTGTAAAGGTTCTCTTCTGAGTATGTGAAAAAGAGAAATAAGTGTAAAAGGGTAATTGATCTTTACTCATTGAAAGAAGATCGGTAGTGGAAGCCGATGGTCTCGAGTGAAGAGGAATTGATAGTTGATGTAGGTCACGACGACCGAATCACTATAAATTTGGTTTGTATTTACTTTATGTTTTTTATTTATCTTATAAACTAATTTACTTATTTATTACACTTACGAATGCTTTTAAGTTAAACTCATATTTTCGATACGAGCTTTATCGAGAACGTAATTTTTTAAACTGATGTTTTTAACATAAACACTTATTCACCCCACTTCAGTGATGACTTGATCCTAACGCATTGCTCATACAAAAACATAAGTGTTCTGAGGAGAGGAGTGGAACGGCAATGGAGCTTGCTTGGGCATGGAGATGGTTAACCGATAGGGTTAACCCATGCACAAAAGCATAGGTGGGTAGGGAAAGAGAGGGGAACTAGTGAGGCCAGCTCATATATGTCCAGGGGAGGGTAGCCGATGGTCGATAGAATTAAGATGATCATTTAAAAAATTATATTATTTTAATATTTTTTAAAATTGAAATATAAAATTCTTAAATTTAGGACTTTTTATGAGAATACGTCCGAATAGGTAGAAGCGGAGTCATTTTAACTATTGATTAAGTCTTAATTTTCTAATCCTCCAACTAATATATGACTAAACATGATTTTATCGTCATCTTAAAATATAATGAATAAAATCACCGCTGTATATTGCAGCGTAGCAGACCTACCAACTGATATAACACGTACAAATCATCAAATGTCTAGGCGAATCAGCAGATAATAAACTCACCCGAACGGTGCTCTTCGTCACTGTATTCATCTTCGGAGTCATACGGACGAAGCTGCTCGGAATCCTCCTCTTCATCATCCGATGAACCATACGATGGCTGCCAACGGGAAACGTAGAAAACAAGTAAATTCCATGAGGCCCACGAGGATCATTTCGATGATATATAAATACACATGCAGCAGCGACATAGCGGAGGACTTTTTATATTAGATCTATTTATTGAAAATATAAGTTAATCGATAAAGACTTTAACCACAAAAATACTGAGTTTAATTTTCGTATTTTCCCAATTATTCTTCAAAAAAAAAAAAAATAGAGAAGGAGTACGAGTGAGAGATGATCGGCAGAAAGCAGTTTTATCAAAGTCAACGTGGAAGCCACGTAAGAGTAATAGATGAAAGAGCAGCAGACGACGACGATGATCCATACCCTGTATCCATAGTCTTGCGATAGCTGGATGAGAGGAAACAGCCTCAAGATCCTATCGATCTCGTCCTGCGCTTCTCTGATCTTGTCTCGGATGCTCTTGCCTTTGATCAGGCGATACGCATAACTGCGTCTGCTGCAGTTGACGATGACATCGTATGACCACTCCAGAGTTCGCTGCAGGTTCGCCAACGTCTGCTGCGTGGCTTCATCGAGTTCCGCCCTCTTTAGCGGCTCCAAATGCCTGCCGACGTCCTGTAGGTGGACGGCGAATCTCCGGCAAACCCGAGGGAGGTCTCTCGCAGTCGAAACGGCGTCTGAAATCTTCGCGATCAGCTGGGCGACGGTGGTGAGGTCCCCTATGAGCGCCATTGCCCTCACACGATCTCAAGTAGGCCTCTCCCGCGGAGGAGGCTACAGAAGGTTCAGAGAACCGTATGTGCATCTCGTCTTCCGTCGGTGATATATATATTACGAGACAAAGAAATGCACATAAATATATATACATATAGAGAGAGAGACTTGAATTAGTCTTTGTTTGAACCCCTTGTGTTTAGACGACGACGGCAAATCAATGTCCAACATAGACAGCGAAGGCGATATCCAGTTCTTGCCTGCTTTAGAACAAGCAGGTTTTGACTTATTAGCTCTTTCGGTAGAGTGCCAATAGAATAAACAAGTAGAAAGATGGCACCATTGCTATTGCATTATTAGAGCATTAAGGTCGTCACTGCAGATCTCGATGCAAAACAAAACAAAACTCCACAGTTTTTATACTCCAAGCAACTTTGAACATGGACTTTTCTTTCCCCCTCCTAATCGTGTGTTAGGTGGGTTGTCAGGTTCAGGCAGTCGTTAAGAGCATTAACAAAGACCTCTCGACAACTTGCAGTCTTCTTTTTTCATCTTTGGCTATCTGTCTTTGTTATTGTATTCGATAATTCTACGATGATGCTCACTTTTCAAAATAGATAATGTAGATCGGTTGTCTGTTCTGTGTTAGGAATCATAAAGGCTTGACTCTGTTCAAGACGATCATCGGGCTCAATAATTGGACCATAATCTCCACATAGCTATTGTGTCCTGATCATATATGTTTTCATGCACGAGTATAAACCTCATCGAATTCAATTTATTCTCAATAATCAATCTGTATATTTACAGAAAATTCAGGAGAATACATAACTACAGCAGATGCAGATGGTGGGGAAGTGGGAAACAAGAATTTTGATGTCAACATGAACATGACACAACGCAGTCCCTCTTACTTTTTTTTTTAACAATCTGAACTAAGATCTCACAAAACAAGATGATGTTACATGCTTATCTAAGCGTAGGGATGCATGATAGATTGCATTACCATATGAAAGGCCTGATGCATTAATTACCGGTAATTCACAGGGACTGTCTTCCACAACTTCGATGGTAACATGGTCACTTGCAATTGGAGAAGGATAACTCTACATCCGCATCGAAAGGCGCAGGCCCACGTACCATCACCCTAGAATCTGAGAAGTGGATATCATGCAGGAAGGGACAAGGATCAGAAACATTTGTAGGACCCAAATTAGTTGGAGACATGCCCATAGTTTGAATCTGCTCAAGGGTCGTCACAGCTTCTTCCATGGATGGACGTCCAGTAGGATCAGCACCAACACAACTTCGAGCGAGCTGGGCTACAAGAAAAGCGGCTCTTAATGGATATTGGCCATTGAGACTCGGGTCCATCATTCTATGCAGCTTTGTATAATCCGTGAGACACGAACTGATAAATATTTCTTGGAAGCTCTGTCCAGTGGGTTGGTGTACATATTCTAATGTCTCTTCGCTTGGTTGACTTGTTTGACTGTTCTCTTCACTTGGTTGACTTGTTTGGCTGTTCTCTTCGCTTGGTTGACTTGTTTGACTGTTCTCTTTGCCTGCTAGTAGTATTTGACATGCCCCCTTACCGGAGAGCATTTCCAGTAACACGACTCCAAATCCAAATACATCAATCTTATGATTCACAACGCCTGAAAAAAAAAAAATTACATTAGAATATTCATAAGATGAAAGTAATAGGAGGTGGTCAATCATATCTTCATTAAAAGTACCGCTCTTTATGGGTAGATGGAGAAGTTATGGATACAGTCATTATGAAAATATAGAGTTATTAAGCTTCAGCAATCAGAACTAGTGCACAAACAAACAATGTGACTTACATATATTGTAATTAAGAGGAGGAACTATTAATATGAACAAAAAGTTTTCATCATCTTGGGGCAGTGGGCTACGCTAGTTTATGAATGATATCTTCTCTTTCACTTGCACCTGCAGCTAGCCCAGGGTGTGCAATTTTATAAACAAGTTTTACGAGAATTGTTGTAACCGGAACTGCCTACGTTGTTATTTCTGTGGAAGGAGATCTTCATGATCATTTACCTGACTCAAAGTACTCAGGAGCCAGATATCCAAAGGTGCCACAGAGGTCTGCTTCGACATTGGAGTCTCTGGCAGTCGGGCCATCCATTGCAAGCCCAAAGTCCGACAGCTTTGGGTTGAAATTCTAAGAATAAATATAAGTTTCAATACACATGTACCTCTTCCAAATAAAAAAAAAGATTCTTGAAGACCTAGAAAGGTGTACATACCGAGTCAAGAAGAATGTTGCTGCTCTTCACATCTCGATGAATGATGAATGATGCATGTAAAAAAGCAAGGCCTCTAGCAGCACCAACTGCTATTTTTATCCTTAGATCCCATGAAAGTGGCTGCGAATCTGTAAAAAGAGTTCTGAGAATATGAATTTAACCATTTTAGGAAAAGATTATTCAGAGACTCATCAAGGCATGGAGCCATAAACGATCTCATGTGTATCACATGGTGATGAATTTAACCATTTTAGAATGCATGGTTAAAGGTTTATTCAATTTAAATCATTAGGTCACACAAGACAGGAAGCAAATTAATGACGAAACTCACTTTGAAACAGGTGTGCAGCCAAGATCCCATTATTCATGAACTCATAGACAAGAAGGATTTTTTTCTTCTTCTCCTTTGAGCAATATCCAAACAACTTTATCACATTAGGATGCGACAGTTTTCCTAGAAATTGCACCTCAGTCTGCCAAAGGAGAAAGAGATGAGAAAGCATTAGCTTATTTTTTCTCGAAAGTGAAAATTCACACCTCTAAATAACACCAACAGTTGGAGTGAAGTTCTTAAACTTGTCAAATGAAGATATACTACGTTCATGTGAACTATCGTTCCAGCATTCTGATGCTAAAGAGGCATAATGGCTACACTGTTGATGTTGTGAACTGAATAACATACTGCAACACTTGATGGAATAAAAATGAGGAAAAAGAGATCATTTCTAAAAGACCAACTGTAGATGTCATCAATGCTAGTTTGATGATCCCCAGATCTCTATCATTTAGGGCATGGGACTTCAGTGGGATCACATAAACAGACTGTTACACTTTACACTGGCATAGTGGTTTTAAACAAAGAATTAATTACTGGCGAAACATAAAGGATATTTGTATGTAAGAAGATCTACAAAATTAATTAAAACTCAAACTACAAGTGTTAATGTGTCAAGCATCTATATAGTAAATTTGCATTAGAGATAAAATCCCAGATCATAGATCAAATAAAAAAGTTGTCTGTACATGGCTACAGTTCTAGATCAGTAAAAAATTAATCCAATGAAAATCTAAAATAAAGTTAACAACCAAGTAAAACAGTGACTAAATTTACTTATATGGAAGGGTCTAGGTAATCACCAAAGCTTCTGGCAACCCTTGTCTACTGAATCGGCTAAGTCTTTTAACAGCAATGGCTGTCCCAAGCCCACTATTTGCTTCTTTTCCTTTTTTAAGAAATCCACGTCCACTAGTTGCTGCATTTAAAGAAATAGCGCTGATCCAACCTTTGTAGACAACCCCAAAACCTCCTTGTCCAAGAAGGTTCTCATCACTGAAGTTCATTGTGGCACTCTGCAATTCCTTGAACTTGAAGATCCGACAAAACACATCATTGATTCCAAGCCCATGTTTATTGCTGTTTGTAATTTTGGTGTTATTCTCTGTCTCTGCAATCAACCTTCCTGCATGAGGACATGTGGAATTGTTAGTCAAGTTGTTGCCTTTTTAGTTAGATTAGGCTTCAGAAATTTATAACCAATTTTATGACAATTGTTGTATAATGTTTGCTCTTTTTTCTTTATTGCGAACGTTGTATATTGTTTAGCTGCTTTTAGTGAGGCCATTCTTTGACAAAATTCTAAGTCATAAAGATAAATATCCAATGTGCCCACTTTTATAAATTTTTAAATGGCTAGTTGACCAAATCACTAAGGCTTGCACCGTTACATTACCTCTCCTATCTAAGGGTGCCAACAGATCAGATGTAACCCAAGATGAACCAAGATTCAACTCAATTAAAGTAGATAAGGATCACAATCTCGACTTTATGATCAAACTGAACTATGATCCAATCCCTATATAATGATTATGTTTATCATACTTTGTCCTATACTAAGCCCAAATCATATGCCTAACCCAGCCTCCAACTATTTATAATATAGTAGCCTAATTGATGAACTTTTAAAACACATCTAAATAAATCTGAAGATAAAACCGGTAGCAGAATCATCAATCTATTCCACTGCCAAAATGTTGACCATCATTATTTATGTGGTCTAAATTTAGAGTACACCACCACAATTCGGTCCCTTGCCTACTCAAATGGGGATCCCCATGGCTCTGCCTAAAGGCAGAACTAAAATGAAAAAGCCCAACCCAACCATCCACATCGCCATCCTAGTGAACCATTATCCTCTCAGTAATTATCACTGGAATACAGGCAATATATCTGGTCAAATGAGAGTGACCCCATCGACAATGATGTTATCAAGGATTAGGAATCTCAGTCTCATAGCCACTACTTAAGGCACCACTTCCCACAATTATCTCCATGATGATTAGGCTGCCATCTCTAGGTTTCCTGTGTGGGTGTTTAAAGCACCCTATCTTGGTACTACTCATTGGATCTAATCATCTGTGAGAAATGACATCACTCCTAAAATATAGTTTAATCTACCAAAATAGTATTTCTTATAGAATTCATTTGTTAAGTACTTCATCAAAATCAAATGATATACTTGGATAAGAGCAAGATTTGCTTTTTTGCAAGCACCTGGATTAGATAAAGGATCTTGCACCATCTTCTCCACTCCATCCAAAGGATATTCATGTTGGTCTCCTCTAATATTCTCTTTTCTTTCCTGAAAATAATTAAAGCAGAACAGATGAAAGGAGGGAAATGATGAAGTACTGAAACGGCAATTTATGAAGTCATCTCACTCAAATAGTAATTTGTAAATTCATAAGGTAACAATCCTTTTCAGTTAATTTAGTCAACCAGATATCATGCCAAATTTCTGAAGATCATTTATCCACCGACTGTTTACCCTTTTTCTCTTGAAAAAGAGAAAAAATATCTTCAGATGTTGAGCAATAAAAAAATCATAGAGTTGGCTCAAAATTAGTATCCTAAGAAACAAAAGTAAGGCAATAAATCCAGATGCTCATTCATAAATGAGTGGAG